AGAGTGGTCTGGCTATGATGGCTAGATCAGGGATATGTTTTCTCCAAAACTGCAGAGTGCCCAGTATTTCTTGTAATTCTTTTTTGGTTTTGGGAACCTTAACTTTCCCTAATTTGGTCAAAGTGCCTGTTGGGATATGTCATGTTCCCTTCTTCTGTCCGATACCCAGAAATTTGACCTTATTAGAGGGTGGTTGCCTTTTCTCATCGGGGATTTCAATCCCAATATTCTGTAAATGTTTTATGATGTCTTCATAAATTTCTCCAACCTTTTGCTCATCATCCTCCCCAATTAGAATGTCATCAATATATATGTATGTATACTTTGACATCCTTGTGTTCCTTAATAGCTGGAATTTGTTCCAATTCAGTAGCAAGGGCATGATAGGCAATAGTGGGAGAATGTTTATAACTTTGTGGCAATCATGTGAACATACACTGATTTCCTTCCCATGGGTACCATAGAAAACATATCCTTGATAACTAGAGCAGTCATTATAGGATGTGCTGCTTCTTGGACTTCAGCAAATAACTCTGGCATATTAGGCTCAGCAGCAGTTAGTGGACCTGTTCTGGCATTTAGTTTCAGGAAATCTATGGTCAAGCGCCATTTACCGGCCAGATTGGAGAACTATAGGACAAATGAGTATTAATAATTTTGTTTTCAAACCTTCTATGACTTCTCTTATGCCTTCTTTAGCTGCTAATGACAGTGGGTATTGTTTGATATTGATGATTTTACTTTGTGGAAGACAGGGAGCTCCCTGCAATAGCCTAGAGTAGGTATACCAAAATTCCAGTAATTACCTTTATCATCTCTCCATACTTCCCTTCCTAGTAAATTGTAAGGAATGTTACCCACTATAATTTCTGTTCAGATTAACCTATCTTCTCCTGGCAATTTTAGGTAAATTTTGGCTGTTTTTTGTGAAGTGGGCTGGCCAAATGCACCACTTACCATCACTAGTTTTAATTGTAGCTTTAGTGTGGGAGCCAGGAACAGATGTAGAGGCATTGCTTTACTTGGAAAGCAAATAACACACCACCAGTGACAGAGCTGGTAATCTTGCAACTGCAGATGATTCAATGAAAGGCTAGAAATACTACATGAACCTGCAGAATAATCATTACTTGAAACTATGCCAGGCTGTCCCAGGTAACTTGCTGAAAACAGTGACAGCTCATGGATCCCAGTCACACAACTTGTCTCATTCAAAAGACTCCACTGATCTCAACACATCTGCTGTAGCACTGCCATTTTATTATGCCCATTCCCACAGCTGTGTTTTCTCTCTCTTGCTTTCCTTACCTACTCCTTGGAGTCAGAGAGTATTTAACTGAAATTAGCTACAAGTGTTCCCCATTAGAATTTGGTTTCTGGTAAGCTTGAGCAAAGCACACCAGGTAAGATTAACTACCTGGACAACATACTGCCAGCAAAAGAAGTAATTACCACAATAGACAAATGTTTCTGCATTTTTATTCTTATAGTCTGAAGTGTGATGCTTTCTTGGTTAGGTGTTTATGAGAATGACTGATCTTTCAGCACAGTAGATATTAAAGTACAAATTAGTGCAGTGCCGTAATGTTCTATCAGCAGTGATCGAATGTGAGAAAAACAAGCATGCAACTCACTATTCCAAGTTAATGAAGATTTTATTTTAGTTTGATAGGGCACGTTCTGTAAAGCTTTGAAATCTTTAAACCTTTTCTGTCTTCATTTACCCTCAGGCAGATTGAGCTATAGGACAAAATTGCAAAGCACTGGACAATATACTAATTTATTTCTTTTTGCTGTGCTTTTATTCTACATTTCTTGGCTTTCCATATGCAAGCAAGGCTTAAGAGTAGGTTGGCTTTCATGACACATAAGTAATTCCTTGGACAGAAGATTTTGCTGATATGTGTGCATCTTGGCTTTCTAACTTTTCCTGGCATTATGCCATTTTTGTCAGTGGCTTTTCTGCCTCATGTGAGTAAGGAGACTATTTGTCTTCCTTCATGTACATGTTTCAGAGAGGCTTAGTAAACTTGCTGTCAGCCTGTCTTCAGCACAGCAGTGTTACTCAGTTCCACTGGAGAGACACTTCTTTTTTGGAAAGACACAAAATGTGTAAACACTTTCATGGCAAGACCTTAGAGGGATCAGAGAAATTAAACTGATTGGCTAAAATGCAGCAGAGGAGCTGTGTGCCCTCATTTCCCCTTTACAATCAGCACTCTATAGGACCAGGTCTTCAAGAAACCAGATTGGAGGGAAAACCCAGGTATTTCTTTATTTCCAGTCTGAACAACAGACCTGACCAATTAGACCTAAGCAATAACTTGCAGGGTTCCAGAGTGTTTGGGAAGCTTTAGATTGACTGTCATAGGAAACAATGAAAGGTCTTGTGTGTTTTTAAACTGTCACATTGTGACAGTCACATTGATTAAAACATGAATGGTGTAGCACATGCACACAGGGGCACAAATAGCTTCAATTCAGCTGGACATGTGATTCTGCCAATAAACAACAATTACTCCACCGAGTATTCCTAACCAGGATTAAAAGCTGAATGCAGCATTACAGCAAATGGCTGCCGTTACAGGTAGAGGACAAGGTCTGAAGGCTCCAGAAGTTCCTTTCCCTTCTGTAGGGAAGAGTTACAGGCCAGATTGAATCAGTCTTTGAGCAACCTGGTCTAGTGGGATGTCCCAGTCCCATGGCAGGGGGTTGGAACTGGATGACCTTAAGGGTCCCTTCCAGTCCAAACCATTCTGTGATTCTATGACTATATAAAAACTAAAGCAAGGGTTTCTACAAGTTCATATTGCTCAGATTAGAGAGTAACATTCATTTATTGTCTTTTAGTGCCAGAAAAGTCTTGAGGTTACCACTACACTGGTAGCATAGCAGAGAACTTCCCACGCTGCTTCACTGGCAAGACAGTGGATGCTGAGTCAGAGCACGAAGAGGGAAGCTGTGGATGGAGCCACCGCTGTTCCCATCCACCTGCTTCCATGCCATTCTCCAGACATCCCCAGGGCTGCTTTCCTCCTTCCAGTCCATCCCACCTGGTCATTTTAAAGAGTTCCATCTTTTCTAAATCTGGTTGCACTCACTTCAATGTCCTCATCACCAGCTTCAGAATGACTGTTCCTTCCCTGGACACCCTGAGGAAATGCTAGGCCACCTCTCTTCTTGAACAAAGCCTGGTTTCTGTGACGTTCGCTGCAGCAAGAAGTCAATGGCTCTCACTTGCTTAACAAGGAAGTTATTAGCGCTGATAGTGAAAAGGATTTTGGTTGTTTTTAGAGTAACCTATGAACTGCAAACCTAAATTATAGATATCCAAACTAAAAAAGAAGAAGAGGTAAGCAACTTTGTCTTCTTTGTTCTTTCAAATGTCTAACATGTACGTTGTTTGGGTGTTGGATTTGTTTTCCTTTTTTTAATCTCTAGGTAGGACAGACAAATATTCTATCCAGCAGAAACTAGAGATGAAGACATTAGTATTCTCTGGATTCATTTAGCAAGTCCCAACCAACAGGTTCCTGGTGTTCATACAAAGTTAAAGAGCTTTGTTGCCAAATTGCAACAAATTCACGGCTGCCTTTGATGGTGACACTGCACATGAACAATTTCTGATAGGATAAATACCTTCACTTACTGGAAAACAAATTAAAGCATTTACTTCAAAGTGTGTCCATCCCATGGGATTTAGGAGGAACTACCAGAAGCCTGAACAAAGTATTCTGAAATTTGTGGGATTATTCATCTACTTCAAGTTAGGCAAGTACTAATGTGACCTACAGCTTCAACATATATCCTAGTAAAAGTGATGCATACATTTATAAGACCCTGACCCTTATTAAATACGAGATCTGAACAGCTTACAGGAATATTCTATGGATATTCATAGCCCATATCCTCTCCATATGCTTACAGGCAACCCATATTCAGAATATGCTTTGAGAGGATTATTAAAGAACCTACAGTGAATTTCAGTGTTCTTTGCTGGCCTGAACTTGTCTCTTCAACCTAAAAATCCTTTCAACTATTTTTATATTTGGGAGCTTATACTTGCCGTCTTTCAAATATTTTTGAAAAAGCAGAGCAACATACTGTAGTGAAACCTTCCCTGCATTGTCTTTCTGTACTTCCCCATTAACTAATGGAATCAAATGTTCCTTACTTCTGGCAGAATTCCTTTTCACTACCTTATTAGTTACAACTTATTTTGAAGATTCAGCCCTTCTGACTTTACAGTAATATTATTTTTTACTTGCTTTGAGCCAGAAAGCTTTCTTCTCACTTGTTATATGATTCCCCATTCATGTCCAAATCTGAAACAGTTACTGGGGCTTTCTTCCCTGCAGCTTTTTCTCCACTTTTGAGTTTTTAATAGTTTTTCAGTCACGGTCAATGCTTTACCAGATTTTACCCAACAGATGAGTAGTTCTCCATTCTTTTCTGGTTGAAACACTCCTTGCACAAGTGTAGATTTCTGAATATTAAAATAAATACATTTATTTTCTTTCATGGTTTTATCAGACATAATTTCAATTGAGTTTCACCTTCTTGTGGAAAGAGTTCCCCCATTAAACTAGCTCCTTCAGAGAATACACTATCCCAGATTTTATGCATTAAAGGCTGCTCTTGGAGTGCCACAACAACAAAAAAGATATTTTATTGCAACACAGAAGCTTTAGTTTTATTGGAAATCATCAACAGAACTGAAAGAAATTTTAACACAGTGCTGCACTATGTTTATTTTGTTACTACAAAACTGCTCCCTGGTTCAAAGTCCTACAACTGCAGCAGCTTGAAAGCTGCTTAACAGAATGTCACAAATAGCATTTTTGGTTTTCTTACTTACCTTGCACTAGCCAGTCTCCCCACGTGTATGAAAGAGGAAGTGATAAACAGGCTGCACAAAACTTATCTTTCAGTATCTATGGCAGTCTTCTTCTTTTTTGCTATTGCCAGCCTCCATTTTAAATGGAGTGATTTTTTTCACTTCATTTCAGTTTATTAGTATTCTTAGCTTTGTCATCATCCTCCTCCAATTTGTTTACTTCTTCCTGTAATTCATCCTCCAGCTCACAGTCTGAATCTGATCCAGTGTTATCATCCCAGTAATCAGCTTCATATCTGTCCAGTAAGTATTCCTGTGGGCTAGTGGCATCATCAGGATTCCTTATTTTTTTCTTTTTAATCTTCTTTTGAATCTTAGAAAGCTGCTGCTCCTGCTCTTCTGTCCAGGCAATGCTTTCTAGATGTCTTGACACTTTCAGTCTTTTGTAGTCCATTATCTGCTTATTGAGCAGTTCATGATCAATACCAAAAAGATTAGACCGCATGGGTGAATCTGAAGATTGGGTCGCTGAAGATAACATTTTACTGTGGAAAGGAAAACAAATTGTATGGTTTTTTTCCCTGTGCATATTTTAAGGGGTAATGCTAATTGTGACAACTTAAGTAGCACAGAAATGAACTGGAGTTTTTAGTTTTACTTTATTAATGCACTGTGTTCAGCACTGTGCTCCCTACGTTAAGGAAGAGATACCACCATACTATACACCACTACTACATACATATACATACATATATATATACCACCATACTAATAATACACAGTCCAAGGACAGGCTGTGCCCAAGGACATGCCTGTCAGCATGTCAACAGATTTAATGGGAAGAAGCTGATAGAGCAACTACATTCCAGATGAAGCTGTGCTTGCTTCTGGGAAAAGATGTGCATAGGTAACAGAGTGAGCACTAGACCTGGGAACCCCAAGAAATTTAGACTTTTCCCAGTTCTTTCATGAACTGAGAAGCAGCAGCCTGTGTCCAGAACACATCAGCCAGGTGTATGAATGCAGCATACGGCACCTTAAGCTGCACTTATGTTTAAGTGTTTCCACAAGACAGAGAGTTAAGGTGTTAGGTGTCCTGTGCAAAAGTCTGTAACAACAGATTGTTGATTTCCATCAACAATTTACTTCTGATTAGCACCTAATGAACTGTCCTGTGAGATGTTAAGACACAGAAGGCATTTCCACCAACAGACTGCAGCACAGAAGTACAAGGCTGTTGGCTTTGATATCATCCAGTCCACATAACCATTATTCCAATAGACTCTTCAAACCTATCCCTCAATAGCCAACAATCCCTCACAGAAGAACACTGTTAACTTAACTTACTTTTTTATTAATTTAGGGAGATTTATCAGTAAACCTGCACTCATGTATAACGATCCAAACTTATGCCAGAAATAAAGGGGCCGTATAATACTGGTAAACTTTTTATCCTCATGAGAAAATTACCAGCAAGAAAAAAGTAATACTGCTGCAAGGCATTTTTAATTATTTAATTACCACAAACACTGAGTCTTAGATTCTTAGAAATTCTAAAAAATATTTCCCTCATAAACGTAAAGATACTAATACCAGAGCAAGTATTGGGTCTGCAGTTAACAAGCCCAATAACCATGTCACTGAATACAGACATCACCACCTGCTGATTTCTGAGGCTGTGTTCTGATATTACCTTATGGGTTAGTTGCCTCTGAAAGTATATACACTGTGCTGTTAAAAGTGACAATTCAGTCATTCTCCACAGTTTAACAGAGGTTCACTTATATATAAAAAATACTTTACCCTTCCCTATTTGCAAATCTGTATCCTGCAGCAGGGTGCAAATGCACAAGAACCACTGACAAAATAGCCTATGAAAATGTGTCTTCAGGAAAATATGAAAGCAAACCAGAGCACATATAGTAAGAAATATTTTCCCTTAATTTTAATAAATGGATGTAGTACTGGTGAAGAAAGCTTATGCCATAAAATGAAATGGCATCCTCTACATTTAATTTATGGGATGATTACGTATTACTTCTGTCCTAGGTTATTCTGTAGCCTCTTTTAATAATAAAAGGGCCCAACTGACCTCTTTCCAAAAAGAAGCTCTCTTCTACTTTCCATTTCCTTATAACATCATTTGCTGAACTCTGAGAAAACAACACCATACACATCTAATTAAAATACACTTTCCACTCTGTCAAATAATACCCATTTTAAGTTGGCCAGTAGAGATGGACACTTTCAGAATTTTGATTCAAAAAACCCACCTAGAGTAATTTTGAGATGTTTCTTCCACTTCTGAAGGCCCAAAATCAGCAACTGACAATAATTCCTCAATCTGAAAATACATTAAGACACGTATTGTATATACGTATTATATGTATTGCATTCATTATAGATGTGGGAAACTGTTCCTACATATTACATATTCTTCTTACATATTACATGTATTATATATTAAAGGCCCTATCTTAAATTTACTCTGTTCACACCTACACAAGAAACAGACAAGTATCAAAACAGCAAATGTTTTATATGTCTGGAATATTTAGCAAAACCATTTCAAAATAGCCTTTTCCTCTATTTACATGGAACTGCTTATACTTCTTTCCAGGGAAGTTTCTCAAATAGCACAACTGATCCATGGATTCCTACAAAGATTTTTGCCTTACAAACACTGAACTGTTCGCTAGGGATTCCCAACAGTTTTTGCTACATAATTTGGCTACAGATTGCTATATAATTTTTATTTTATTTGGTCTTCCTACAGTTTTGCAAATCCTTTTTCATAACATTGGGATTTTATTAATGTCTTCCGTCTTTCTGAAAGTTTGTATTTCTACTGCATGTAAATATTGAGCTTCCAACTCCCTTTTAACATGCCACCTAACCAGCACACGCTACAAATCTAGTATATCCAGTGCTTATAGATTATACTTAATTGTGAGTTTTATCTCATTTTAAATTTTTCTTCCTACTTTTCTTTCATTGTATCTCTTCTAATTCAACACATTATTTTACGAGATGAACTGGATGATCTTTCCCTGTGTTTGAATACTTAAAAATCAGGTTCAGTTACATTACTTCAAACCCTGTTATTCAAATCTGTGGATTACACAAATCTGATGATCTGCAAAGTGTGAAAAGATGATCCATCTCAGTGCTTCTCAGTGCCATTCACTGACAGAAGATATATAAGGAGGGTTTTTACTTTTCTTGTGTGGTCTAACTTCTTGGCGTCTATTTACTGAACGTGAAGGTAGCTCAGGGCTTTTCTTCTTCAAAAAAAGTAAATGGTAATTTAACAAAGTTTGAGAAACAGTCCTTAAAGGAATAAGGTCCAAAATAACAGACCTGAAAGGCAAAACCTGCAGTAGATACTTGTAGCTCCATCTAGGTATGTTAATAACAGAGTAATAGTAATGACAAAGTGCTTCTATAATTACTTGCTACTTGCATCGTATTTCTTGGATTAGAGGGACCATAATAACGGATATAAACAGCTTTCCAAAGTGTTTATTTCATTTCTATTCTTGTGCTTTTTGTTGATACTAATGCAGGTGAAAAACATTTGCACTGTGGATCAGTATAATGGTGTGAAACTCCAAGCAGAAAGTTCAAGAAATTCACTGCATTTCTAGAGTCTCGTTCTGGCTCTCCCTTCCAGCTCTGCTGATAAAACACCACATAAAGCCATACGTCACTCACAGTAATTGGTCCTAATACTAACACATCTAAGAAAAACGCTCTTCAGGCCACAGAAACTTTTAAACTAATACACTTGCCATCAACATCAACAGCCTGAGGAGACGTTTGTCATGAAATTTCACTCACTGGAGTGGTTTGACGGTGCCCAGGACAATTTTATGGTACCAACAGGAGGACCCAGAGAGAGGGTGTTTAAGACCCTGAGGGATCCAGAGGGCAGAACAGGGAGGGGTCAGGATTCCCTCCCATCTCCTGTCATACTCTATACAAGCCAGGAAGACAAGGAGTGTCCCCCTTCCTGCTCCCTTCTTCCTTGCTCCTGCTTTGTCATCAGCTTGCAGGATCTGAATCCATCAGGTGCTGGGAAGAGCTTTGGACCCTTTCCCAAGCTGGCCCTGTTGCAAGGGACTTTCAGACACTTATATCTGTGATCACTGAGACTGCATATTGTATATATTTTCACACATTTCTTTCTCATTCCACATGTTACTGTCCCTTCCTTGTTTCAGTAAACCTGTTCTGGTTTTAACTTCCAATCATTAATTCTCATTTATCTTCCCTTGGGAGGGTGGAGTGGAGTAACAAGATAGCAATTCTGTTCTCTGATTTTTTGTTCACCCTAACCACTAAACTGAGGTATGATGTAACCTTTCTTACTATTTAAAAAAAATTAACTTCACAATACTAATGACAGCAAATTCCTAGAAAACATCATGATTCCAGCAGTATTTCAACTAGTTAAAACCGTCAACATCTTAGCTTTTAGGATTTCTTTACTGACTTAATAGCAGCATCTTCTTGATGTGATACCTTTTACATTGTATGTAAGCATCAGTATTACTCAACATTCTTTGATAAAATGCTTTGGAACAGGAAGAGGAAAGGGTACAGGCAAAGACTGATTGTTAATGTATATTGGTAGGGCAACAGCTCTACTCCTAACCATTATGGTATGCTAAATCATCATGTTTGCATATTATTATATTTGTCCATTACTCTTTTTGTACATTGAGTCAGATATTACCTCTTTTACTGCTGCAGCTTCTTTGTCTTTTACAAATACTATTGGAGGTACATTTCCTAGAATCTGCTGGCTCTTCAGAAGATACCTGGCAAAAATACAGCATTCAGCAGTATGAGTAACAGTACAGCACCTCCAGGACAGATAAAACATTTCAGGATACGGTTTGCAAAACTTTCAGTCTGATAGGTATCCATTCAGGTTAGTGCTAAGCAATACAATACTGCAGAATCCTAACTCTGAATGTACAACATACAAAAACTACTAGCTGCAGACCCCATTGAGTATTGATAGTATTAGATTTGTCTCCTGTATGCACAGGCTGGCATTGGTCTTTACCCACTTCATTTGGCTTACTTATCACCACTGTAGGAGTGACAGCAATGTAGGATAGAGCCCTCACAGCAGGGCAAGACAACTAGTCCTACATATTAGCTGCAGGAAGGATTGACAGGGCTTCCCTTGTCTTCCTCCCATCCAGCAACATTCCTCTTCAAAGACTGGAAGCTGCTGGAAGAGCATCATGCTGGAGAAGGAATTACACAGCCTAAGGAAACAGGAGGAAAAGAAATGGCTCTACACGTATGCTTCAATGCCACCTTGTCCATGGGAGGAAGCCCTGATCCTCCAACAGACTGGTGAGACAGCAGAGGGTAAGCTCAGGAAGGAGGAAGAGACAAAAATCTCTATGATAGCCTGAAAACTCACTGGACTCTCAGCCAAAAATGGGTAAAAGCATCACAACTTATAGTAGCAGCCCCACATTTATTTTTTTCTATCAGTATTGTGAAGAATTTCTGTAGTGTCATCCCTCTGGGGGGATGTCCAAACTGTCCCTAGCAATCAGAATTGCCCAGTGATCCTGTAAGGAGATACCTGTTATAATCACCAGTCCTCTTGTGCAGCACCATATTCTGGCCTACTGTCATGCACAGCATGTCCAGCCCACCATCACTAGTTCAATGAAGTAAAACTTCACCCGAACTTCTCTTCCTTTCTGTTCAGCCCAGTCCAATCCGAGAAGAGCACAGAAGTCAAATAAGCCAGCTGTGCTCCAGCAGGAGAATACACTTCATATACACAAACTTAAAGCATCCTAACAGGTCAGATATAGATGGTTAGAAATACTTCAGAGATGGTACTAGTACAAGGCTATGAACTGATGAGGTAGTCTAACTGTTTATCTCGTAGCAGTACCGTATACGTGGAGCACTCCTCTGCAATACACTTTCAACGTAACTTTCTTTCTCCTTAGTAGTAGCAGGATTCCAGTACACACGACATGCTGAAAAGTTTGATGCCAGGGACACCTGCAAAAATAAATACTTTTCTTTAGAGTTATATATAGACACCCACTTCATATACAACAGTCTCTAACTCATGAATAAGCATACAGTCACCCCAAACCGGGTATGTAAATTCTTAGAATTTCTTCTTCCACCTCTGCTCTCAAGAACCAAAATTACATAGTGCCTTTGTAGAGGTGGAGTTTAACACCAAGTAAGATTTATATTAAGTACTTGAAATTACTTTTTTATTTAGGCAAGTCACTACCTAATCTCCCTTTCAAATGAAATTAAATGGAGTAGAAGTCTGTCAATACCTGCATATTCCTGACAGTGCTACCTTTAGTCAATGTAATGGTGATACCATCACAAATAGTACAGAATGACAATTTATGACATACTGCTTTGGAATACAGTAGAAAGTGTTAAAGAAGGACCTGTGTCACTGCCTGGCTTGTTGTCACCTAGTTTGGTTTTGATACTGACAAAATAAGAGGATGCCCCCCATGCTACTGTAATGTTGAGTCTCTGCAGCTCTAAAGCCTCCTGGGTATTAACTCACTAACAGATAATATTCATAGCTGTCACACATGCAACTGGAAACATATTATCCAAAAGCACATTATGTCAAAGGGACTGCCCCCAAATTCCAAAGCAGATATTGACTTTTTCCACCACCAAGTAACTCCTGCCTTGGGAAATCCAACATTCATTAAAAAAAACCAAAAAAACACCACAGTGATGATTAACCAGCTGTTTCTACCAGCAGGATCATCCCTCCCCATCTCCCACGCTGACGTCTAATGTAAGCACACAAACAACCCTATCTAACAGAAGCTATTTCTTCATTATGAAATGAGTAATGCTATCAAGTGGATAAAACTTTTGACATAGCAAGCCTGAAGCATTATCCTTATCTGTATTACTATTATGTAATCTTAACTTTTTATACCAAAAAGCCCAAATTCTGATGGATTGCAGAATGCCTAGAAGAAGACTCAGCAGTCCTGGATGACTGTAGAGGTATCAGCAGATTGGAAATCAGACAACGTAACCCACATATATAAGAAGGGACAGAAGGATGATCCAGGAAATTACAGGCCTGTTAGTCTGACTTCGGGAAGCTGATGGAGCAGATCACCCCGAGTACCATTATGTGGTACATTCAGGACAACCAGGTGATCAGGCCCAGTCAGCATGGGTTCATGAAGGGCAGGTCCTGTTCAACTAACCTCATCTCCTTCCATGATAAGGTGATCCCCTTACTGTTGATGTTGTCTAGCTTGACTGTAGCATGGTATTAGACACTGTTTCCCACAGCATTCTCCTAGAGAAGCTGGCTGCTCATGGCTTGGATGTGCTCACACTTTGCTGGATAAAAAACTGGTTGGATGGCCGGGTCCAAAGGGTTGTGTTGAATGGAGTTAAATCCAGTTGGTGGCCGGTCACGAGTGGAGTTCCCAGGGCTCAGTGCTGGGGCCGCTCCTGTTTCACATCTTTACTGATGACTTGGATGAAGGGATAGAGAGCACCCTCAGTAAGATTGCAGATGGCACTAAGCTGGGTGGGAGTGTTGATCTGCTTGAAGGCAGGGAGGCTCTGCAGAGGGGTCTGGACAGGCTTGATCAATGGGCCAAGGCCAGTGGCATGAGTTTCAATAAGGCCAAATGTTGGGTCCTGCACTTTGGCCACAACAACTTCCAGCAGTGCTACAGGCCTGGGGAGGAGTGGCTGGAGAGCTACCGAGCTGAGAGGGACCTGGGGGTGCTGGGTGACAGCAGCTGAATATGAGCCAGCAGTGTGACCAGGTGGCCAACACCATTCTGCCCTGTATCAGGAATAGTGTGACCAGCAGGACCAGGGAGGTGATCATACCCCTACAATCAGCCTTGATGAGGACACACGTCCAGTACTGTGTGCAGTTTTGGGCACTACAGTACAGAAAGAACACTGAGGTGCTGGAAGGTGTGCAGAGAAGGGCAACTAGGCTGATGAGGGGTCTGAAGAACAGGTCTTACGAGGGGAGGCTGAGGGAGATGGGGCTGTTCAGTCTGGAGGAGGCTGAAGGGAGACCTCGTTACTCTCTGCAACTACTTGAAAAGGAGGTTGTAGTGAGGTGGGTGTTGGCCTCTTCTCCCTGGTGACCAGTGATAGGACAAGAGGAAATGGGGTCAATCTGCACCGGGGGAGGTTCAGATTCAATATCTGGAAAAATTTCTTCACAGAAAGTCGTGAGGCATTGGAACTGGCTGCCCAGGGGGGTAGTGGAGGCACTGTCCCTGGAAGTGTTCAAAAAATGGGTAGACATGGTGCTTAGGGAGATGGTTTAGTGGTCACGGGAGTGTAGGGCTGACTGTTGGACTTGATGTTGAAGGCCTTCTCCAACCTTAATGATTCTATGATTCTAAGATGTATTTTGATAATGGAAGTAACAGTGTGGGACCAGTAAAAAACAGGACTGACTCTCAGCTGTGTCCCAGTGCAGCACCAACATGAAGTACTACACAGTTATTATAATCTGTATGTATTTAGAAGAAAGTTGTTTCTTGACATCTCTCATGTCATAAGCTGTTTCAGGTACAGCAATGCTTCCTGCAAGTGCTGTGGCTCACCTACACCAACAAGTATTTCTATGTGCAGACAATGCCATCTAAGTTAGACAAGGAATCCTCAAAAGCCTAGAGAGAGAAATACTGTATGAAGGATACTCCACATAAAGAGCAGTAAGATTCATCCTGCCCACGCAATTTTAATCACTTGCCTGAATACAGAATTAATTTAGCTGGCAAAAACATCTGCTTCAATTAAAAATGACAAAGCTCTTGTCACAGATGGAGCTATGAGATGCAATTTTTTTCCATACTTCTAACTAAGAAAGCTAAGTCCATCAAGACTTTAAGTATTTAATCTTAACAAAACAGCAAATGTAGAAGAGAAAACTAGACAACTGACATGAATGTGGAGAGTGACCTAGTTCCTGAATCAGAGCTTTGACATCCCTTTAAAACCCAGGAAATATGACAACAGTAGCTAAAAGTAGGTACACATTCAAATTCTTTCTGGAACCTTGTTGCCAATGCCATTTTCTCAGGCTTGTCTTTTTTTTTTTTTAACTAAGCTCATGCCCCACTTAAGTTTTCTGTCTCTGTAATGATGCTGGTGAGAGACATGAGGTAGCAACTCTCACACAGCTGCACAAAAGACTCCTAGGAAGATACACTTAAGTTGGTAAGACCAAGCTCCTCCTCTGAAAGGGCAAGGCAAATAGCATGTATCTGAGAAAAGGAAAAAAAATAATTATACTAGGAGAACAATAATTTATCTGGCCTAAGCTGTATTTGCACTATAGTGGGAAATGTCTACTAAGCCAGGTAGAATACTGGCAAAGTTCTCCTAGTGTGTAAGGGGTACCCAGAACCTCATCTTGCTGTGCTGTGCCACATCAGAAGCAATGCAATACAACTCCTCCTGCACACCTCACAACACCCAGGGACCCTCCTCTGGCACATCATGCCGACTTCAAGGCATAGTCAGACTGACTAAACACAAGGTGTAGCTTTGGCACCTGCCTTGCAGATTTCCAGCTTGAGTTCAAAAAGTTCTTCATTCACTTCACAGGTCATCATCATCTCTGCCACAGCTTTATGAATAAGACTATTCAAGACTCTGCAGCGCATGTTATCTTCCTTCCTAATTTTCGTATGGTCATCTTTCTTTACAGAGGCAAATTCAGTTGGTTTATACATCTTTTAAAAAACAAACAAACAAACAACCCACATTAATCAGTAGTTACAAACTTGCATTAGGCAATTATATACAGTTTTGTGCACTCTACCAAGTATGCTCTTGGAATGACATTACTGAAGCTGTGATAGTTTATATAGGTCTTATTTATCAGGTGTTTCAAGAAATATTTCTGCTTACAATATCTTTGACCATTGTCTTACAGTCAAGGTTTCTTAGGTTCTTGATTATTTTGTAGCAAGTTACACAGCTCAATAAATCAAGTTTTCTAAAATACAGCATGTTTTAACTGAAAAGCACTGCTTGTTTGAAAACAAACATGAACACTTGTTCTCTGTAAAAGTAAAACTAAGCTGGTACAGAGAAATCTGAATTTGCAGCAGTTCTCTGCTCCGGGCTGGGGTGTGCCAGACAATGTCAGTGTTGGCAGAGAAGAGGAAATGGCCACGGGATGCAGAAGGAGCTTCTCTTAACAGCAACCCTGGCCTATCGTAGTGAAACTGAAGCTCGAGTGTTCATTCACAAAAACCTGTTTCTCCACCTGAGAGTCCCCGAGTTAGACACAATGGCAGGTCAAGCTTCTTTCTCCTGGCACAGTTAAACACAACATCCTGAAAGCTTGCACTTACCATCTTAGATCCCAGGATAGGGCTGTCGTACCAAAGCTTCTTCCTTTTGGAGAAAGGAAAGAAAAATCAGCTTTATCTCTCAACGGGTTCTCTAACTGAAATGTCACACAACACAACGCCCAGGCTTCCAGACCCGAGTATCCCCCGCAGCAGCCGCAGGCCGCAGCCCGGCGCGGGGAGCAAGGATTTCCACCCACCGCGCGTGGAGGGGGCAGAAAGCAACTCCCGCTCGGGTTTCCGGCTGTCACCTCACACCGCGGCACCGTCACCAGGCCCAGCGGACGCGCTGCCCTTAGGCCCGCTCGGCGCGTCTCTCCCGCGTCAGCAACGGGGGTGACGCGGCAGCGCCCCGAGCCCCGCAGCCCC